GAGCAGAGTAAGCCTGATTCCAGGTTGGAACTTCTCTGTTGACATCCACCTCTTGGCGCTCATTTGACCTTATGCAGTTGCGAGCACAGTAAAACCTTACTTAAAACTAAGAGACAGCTTACCTATACGGACAAATGTAGGTCTGGTAGATATCATAGACAATGACCGAGGACACTCCCATGATCTCGCCAGAGCCCGTGGACATGGTCAACATTGTCAGCATTGTCAGCATCAGGATAGATCCCTGCTTGCCCAGGGCTTTCTCTGACATGAACGTGGATACAATGCCTGAGGAGGAGGGAATGAGTGAGTGAGTGAGCGAGTGAGTGAGTGAGTGAGTGAATGTGTGATATTGTCAGCATCAGGATAAATCCCTGTTTGCCCAACGTTTTCTCTGACATGAGGGTAGATATGATGCCTGGGGAGGAGGGAATGAGTGAGTGAGTGAGTGAATGAGTGAGTGAGTGAGTGAGTGAGTGAGTGAGTGAATGAATGAATGAGTGAGTGAGTGAGTGAGTGAGTGAGTGAGTGAGTGAATGAGTGAGTGAGTGAGTGAGTGACATTGTCAGCATCAGGATAGATCCCTGCTTGCCCAGGGCTTTCTCTGACATGAACGTGGATACAATGCCTGAGGAGGAGGGAATGAGTGAGTGAGTGAGCGAGTGAGTGAGTGAGTGAGTGAATGTGTGATATTGTCAGCATCAGGATAAATCCCTGTTTGCCCAGGGCTTTCTCTGACATGAAGGTCGATACGATGCCTGAGGAGGAGGGAATGAGTGAGTGAGTGAGTGGGTGAATGAGTGAGTGAGTGAGTGAGTGAGTGAGTGAGTGAGTGAGTGAGTGAGTGAGTGAGTTTGTGAGTGAGTGAATGAATGAATGAATGAATGAAGGAATGAATGAATGAATGAAAGAATGAATGGATGAATGAATGAATATGACATATTGTCAGATATAACGATGTATAATGTGTCATGACGCGGTGGAATCAGGCGCTCTCTCGATGTTTGAGCACATGGGGTTATTTGTATCATTATAAAGCTTGTTTATTTGTCTTGCTTTCGTTGGAAAAGAAATAAAAATCTTTCTTGAATAGGAGTCGAGATATTTGCAATTGAGGGAGATGGTGTTGCTTGGTTTTAAAGTAAAATTAGCGAGAAAATGTCTGAAAAAGTTTGGTGACTACCAAAGCTTGAGAGTACTTGGAAAAAGCAAATGCACATCTTTTGTGCCTTTGATCTACGTTTATTAGTAAAATCCACTAATGAATGCGTTTTTAAATGAACATCAAAGGTGTTGAGTCAGAAAAAGAAAATTCGATAAAAAATTGCCCAACGTCCATAAAAATGCAGATTTCTTTGATTTCATGGTTTCGACAGGCGTCTGTTTCATCACGCTGCCTCACATATATTATGTCAAACATAACGATGTATATTAATATGTCAGTCATAACGTATATTAATATGTCAGACATAATGTATATTAATATGTCAGACATAATGTATATTAATATGTCAAACATAACGTATATTAATACGTCAGACATAACGTATATTAATATGTCAGACATAATGTATATTAATATGTCAGTCATAACGTATATTAATATGTCAGACATAATGATGTATATTAATATGTCAGACATAATGATGTATATTAATATGTCAGACATAACGATGTATATTAATATGTCAGACATAACGTATATTAATATGTGTCACGACGCGGTGGAATCAGGCTCTCGTCAATATTTTGGCATATGAGTTATTGGTATCATCTTAAAGCTTGTTCGTTTGTCATTATCTCGATAAAAGAATTTCCCATCTATCTTCCATAGAAGTTAAACTATTTCGAATTGAAGTAGGCGGGGGAAACCTGGTTTCAGAATTAAAACTAACCAGAAAATGGCTTCCAGAGTTTGGTGACTTTCAAAACTTGAGAGTCCTTAAGAACTGCAAAATTGCATTTTATGTACCATTAATCAAAGTTTTTCAGTAAAATCCACACTGAATTGTTTTTCTAATAATAAAAGATAGCCTTTAGATCGCATTTTAAAAAATATATACTAAAAGTGTTAAGCCAAAAAAAAATTCAATTAAAAAATGCCAAACCACCGGGAAAATGCCAAGTTTTTTCAATTTCATTGTTTTGACAGGCGTCTGATTTCACCACGCTGCCACACATAATATTATGTCAGTCGTAACGATGTACAACCCAGAAACTGACCCGAGTTGACCTGCGCCTCACTGAGCAGACTGTCTGGGTCAGTGGCGCTGACCGCTAGATACGTCACACCCGCCGCTGTGCCGATGGTGGCCGGGACGGAGAACCAGATGAAACCGCCCAGGAGGAAACCCAGGGCTCCCTGGAGAGGGCGCGCGGCGATACGGCTCTGCCAGCTGGCCTGGTCACAGTACGTGATGCTGGTCACCAGAAATATACCTGTAGGTGGGGG